GGAGCACTGCACCCCACAGGATGTCTTTGCCCAGGACGCTGCAGGGAAAGGAGCTGCATCAGGCAAGGGCTGTGCTGGCCATGAGGATGACGCTGGAGAGAGATGTGTGCCTGGGTCCTGTAGCCCCCCTGTCCCCATCCTCCCATCCCTGCCACCCAGCCAGGCTCTGCTCTGCTCTCCCCACCTGGAACCACTGCTCTGGTGCTCACCCTGGCTCCTGGAGAAGCAGGGCTGGGGGATGGAGAGAGGTGATGGAGGCTTTTAACTAATACAAATCTCTGAAATCCCAGCGCTTACCCCACAGACCCCCCTCCTGCTTCCAGCTTGGCATCTGGGATGGGGCAGTGGGGACCAGGGGGGGACACGTCAGCTCGGTGTCCCCCAGCTCTGCTCCCCAGGCTCCTCTTACCGTAAAGCGCTGGCTGAGCAGCCAGTCCTGCTGCTTAACGGGGCCGGCGGCAGCGTGCAGCTGCCTTAATGGGGATGCTCCAGCCTGGTGCCAGGCGGTTAAGTGATAATTAACCAGGTGCTGGGGGAGGTGGAGCTGCAAGCCAGCCCCGTGCCCCTGCTGGGGGGTGCAGGGCTCAGCACCCACCTCTGTGTGTCCCCCCTCAATGCCTGTGGGTGCCTTGGCTGGGGCACCCAGAAACGTGCTGCTCCAACCCTCGGGGAGGAGTGAGGGAGGACCCCATGCAAGCCTGGGATGGGAGCACTGGGTGGCTTTGGTGGCTTTTAGGTACAAGGAGCCACAAAGCCACCTAACACCTGCCTGTCAGCTTCGCCACCAGCAGCCACCCTTGTCTAAAAGGGTAAATATTGCTTTGCAGGTGGGGAAACTGAGGCAGTGGGTGAGCAAGCATTAGGGTTTCTGCAGCATGAGGCAGTGATAAAGCACAGAGGTGACCCGACAGCGCTGAGCACTGTCACTTGGGGGGACAAGGAGGTGATGGCAGGGAGATCCACCCCCTGCAGCGAGGACTCTGTCACCCAGGAGATGGGGTGGCCCAGGGTGACCACGGGGAGATGCACCCCCTGCAGTGAGGACACCATCACCCAGGAGATGGGGTGACCACGAGGAGATGTACCCCCTGCAGTGAGGACTCTGTCACCCAGGAGATGGGGTGGCCCAGGGTGACCACAAGGAGATGTACCCCCTGCAGTGAGGACACTGTCACCCAGGAGATGGGGTGACCATGGGAAGATGTACCCCCTGCAGCGAGGACACTGTCACCCAGGGGATGGGGTGGCCCAGGGTGACCACAGGGAGATGCAGCCGCTGCAGTGGAGGAGGAGAAATGCTGCTGGAGAAACCCGGTGGCACCGGGCAGGGAGAGGCAGCCACGGGGAGGGCTGTGCGGGATGGGACTGGGGAGCTGAGCCTGGGCTGGAAAAACAAGGCTGGAAGAGCAGGTGAGAAATGTGGGAGGGTTTTGACTAATAAAGGCAAGACCCAGGGAAGGAACAGCACTGGGCTCCAAGTGGGGAAAAGGAGAGAGGAGGGGATGATCCTGCCCTCTGGGACCGCGGGGAAGGAGACTGTGGGTGTGAACTGTAACAGGGGAAATTTGGGAGAGATCCCGGGAGAAATGCTGCGGGGAGGAGGGAGGCGCAGAGGGGTGTGGGGGCTGGCTCCACCCTGGGGTCTGTGGGGTCAGGGGGGGTTGGGGACAGGTCTGTCCCAGGGCTGCTCGGGCACCGCACACCCCGTGTGGCCAGGGCACACGTGGTGGCACCTGGCTCAGCCCGCCTGGACCAGTGGAACCAGTAGATGTGGGGCTTGGCCAGCAGGTGCCCATTTACGTGGCACAGGGTGGTGGGGGGACGCAAACCCCTCAGCCCCCACCAGCTGGGATGTGTCTCCAGGGACGGTGGGGCATCTACAGCCACCTCCACCGCCCGCAGGTTGTGTGAAACAGAGCACTTGTTGAGTCCCTCCTGTATATTGTATTATATTTATTACATTATATTATATTTATTAGATTATATTATACTTTATTATATTATGAGAGCTGTCAGGCCAAGCACTTCAAGGCTGGAACCACCAGCTTCGGAGCTGCTCGGGTGACCTCAGCCTGTCCCCTGACGGGGAACGGGGCTGCAGGAAAAGCCTGGCACGTGCCGGCCTGTGGCACCGGCACAACCGGTGGCAGCCAGGGTGACAAAGGCCCAGTGCCAGCCCGGTGGCCGGGTGGCAGTGTCCCCGGGGCCACGGCCGGTGTGGGGGACGGGGCGGCGGTGGGGATGGTCGGAGCAGTGTGGGGGAGACGGGGGGCGGGGGGACACAGGAGGACATGATGGGACACGAGGGGAAACGGAGGTCACAGTGGGGGCATAGGGAGCATGGGGGACACAGGGACATGGAAGGACAGGGACACAAGGACATGGGTGACAGTGGCATGGAGGACACAGGTGACAGAGGTACAGGGGACATGGGTGGTGGCAGCAGCACGAGGGGTGGGGAACAGCAGCACAAGGATATGAGGAGAGGGGGGACAGTGGCACAGGGGCCAGGGGGGACGGGGTGACAGCACCAGGAGGACAGGGGCGACAGGGACATGGGGGACAGGGGGAACAGTGACAGGAGGCGAGGGGTGACAGGGCCACGGGGGA